AGCACCTCAACTGAGTCCCAGCTAAAACTGCTGGAGTTCGTCGTATGTACCGTATGAGTGGTAGTGATGCCATAATTCTCCTTATTTTTATTAGCAAATTGTTTATGAACCATATAGTTTTCTCATTCATTTCTATAGGTTTCTCATGGATAAAAGTTAGATATGTTGAGGAAGACATAATACTGAGATAAAATCAACATAACTGGCTTAGTGGCAACAGTGCTCTCGCCTAGACAGCCTGGCTCTCCGATCGACACATTCACTTCCCGTCCAGCTTTGGACCTGCTGCTGACTATGATCTCCAAACTGTTACCGTCAATTTGAAATTGTTATTACCTTTCAGTAAAATGCAATGCAAAAATGAAAGACAAATAAGCTTTTGAGTATAGCTGGTAAAAATTGAAAGTTTAACTGAGTGAAGGTAGAGATTGTTCCCACTGCCTCAATCCCAGTTTTATTTCATATTAATTTTGAATTTGAATAAGTCACCAAGGGCCGCATCAGAGCTACTGGAGGACCGCATACGGCCCATGGGCCACAGATTGTGCATCCCTGCTGTACAGTATATGTTCATTACTGATACGTTGACAAATCCGATTACATGGCAAGGCCTCAGCCCCACATGTACCAAGTTAAAAGGGTTTGTAAGATGTACCATTTTTTTCTTTTATAAAGTAAATTTTAATATTATCTGAATATGATAATTCAAGTATTTTTCATTTGTTGTACCACAATTTCTTTATAAGCAAGTCCTACCCACGATTACTGCACTGTACAGTATTATCAATATTACTTTGAAAAGCCAGTGCAAATATTATCTCTATTTTTTATATAAGGTACAGTATGTCATTGATATTTTTTATACTTTGTTCATTAATAACATACAATTAATCTCAGAAATATAGTACAAAAAAATACAGAAACTGATAAAGATGTGGAAATGAAAAATGTGTTTGGCAGAGAGTTGACCACAGTTTTTAAGATGGAAAGATAAATACAGTATTGGTGAAAAAGAAAAGTGGATAATTCAGAATATAGTAGGCTGGAGAGAGGAAGGTCAAGAAGATGGAAGGATGGGGTGAAGGAAGTACAGTACAGGTACTAGATGTGAGGGGGGGATGATCATCCAGAAATCAGAAGATTATCAATAAAAGGTGAGTATGGCATCATGTGGTTCATGAGGACATAACAGCAGGTTGAGTGAAGAAGAGTGAAAGAAGAATCTGGTTTTTATTCTTGACTCCAACTATTCTGCATTGGTGAAAGCCGTAGAAATGTGGAAAAAAACAACTAACAGTATAGTAATGGAAGCTTTTAAAGTATAATAATTAATGAGAGACCTGCTAATTATCTGAAATAGGTTATATCTTCACATATATTACACTTAAAATTAAAATATAATCTTTTCTCATTCAGGTCACCTTTACTAACCTGACTGTAACAAGCAAATATCCTGTGAGAGCGTACAGGGCTGAAGAACATGAATGGCACGGGGATCTCAATGATGAAAGTGGCAACTACACACAGCTTGTGCCACCAACCCGGCAGCTGGTAGAAGAACCACGCCAATGCGGTTGGGATACACTGGGACTCATAGTGGAGAGGCAGTGCTGTGGAACAATTGAAAATAAATATAAGTAAAGAAGGTACAGTGTTCAGAATAAAATTACAGATTTGTATTTAGGGTGTAGCATATTTCTTATGTGTCTATTACCTGTCCTCTACTCCCACTTTTGCTTAAAGTGGATTAGGGAAACAGGATCTCATGAAGATTAGGCTCGCCAGCTTATTTCATCTTACGATTAATCACCCTAATGCTCATCTAAGCCCCAGGTAGTGTTATAGTGTTTAATTGTCAGGTGAAATAAGCTAAGTGCCTGATCTTCACATGATCCAGTATACATAAACCTTAAAAAACAGTTGAAAGTGATGTAGATTTTTTTTTTAAATGTAAAGATGACAGGTGAAAGCTAAAACAGCAAGCATAAACACACACACACACTTCATATTCTCAACCTACAAAAATGTGTACTTCCACATTGATTACAACATTTCATATTAACTCCATACACAAACTGAGTTGTCAGTAGGGTTTCTTTCCATTAATATACTGTAACTCTTTATTAATCTTGGCTAATAGGCAGGAACGCTGAAATAGTAAGTGATCCAGTGGCACAAACAACCAACAGTAGTTACAAACTGTAGTTCAATAATATATATGTTACGTATTTTTCTTGCGTAATTGGTTATTTTGCATAATTCCCGGCATACATGCCGGTAATTTTGCCAGATAACTTACAAACAGGCTAACCAAAGTAAAAAAAAAAAAAAGAGAGAAAAGAACAGGACGACTGAACTGTGTGTCAATTTACATGAGCCATCCTAACCTAACCTATCACTTAACCTCACCATAAGGTTAGGTTAGTTTCGGTTGTCTGTTTGTAAGTCATTTCGCAAAATTACCGGCACGCATGCCGGGAATTTTGCAACATAACTGATTTCGGAAAAAAATAATAATAATAATGTAACATATATACAGTGGGGTATGCTATAACGAACGGATCCTACTACGAATATTCCTATAACGAACGGTTTTACCTATAAAATTGAGAATGCTATAACGAACGCAACTCCTACAACGAACGCGGATGAATACCGGACTATTTCGCCTGGCGCATGAATATTGTTGTACCGCGACCCACAACAAGAGCGTCAGGCGCCATCTTTGTCTCATTGTGTAGCCAGTGCACCACTGTTATTGTTGAAATTTTGTCTTTTGATGTGGAAATTCGCATTATTTGTATAACTATTTTGTTATACAAGTATACAATTGTAACAATGAGTCGTCCAAAGCGAGTGAGAAAGCTAATAACCCTTGAAACTAAGAAAGAAATTATAAAGAAACGTGAGAATGGAAGAAGCATTGCGAAACTTAGTGATGAATATGGGATGGCTAAATCGACTATATGTACGATTTTGAAGAATAAAGAGGAGTTAAAAACTGTGCAAGTGGCTAAGGGAATCTTTAGACTTAGCAAAGCAAAGTGTAATGTGATTGAAGAGATGGAAAATTTACTCTTAGTGTGGATAAAGGAGAAAGAAATGGCAGGTGGTAACATTAGTGAAGCTATAATTTGTGAGAAGGCTAAACAATTGTTTGAGGACCTTAAAGCCAAGACTCCCAGTGGAAGTGATAGTGATGTGCCAGTGTTTAGGGGTACCTGCATGCTGAATAACACTAAGGTAAGATAAAGTACCGTATTTTTTACATTTTCCACAGAATTTTTTCAGTGTTAAGCGGTTGTATTTGGGGGCCTGGAACGGATTAATCCTATAACGAACGAATGCTATAACGAACGAGGTTCTGGAACCAATTACGTTCGTTATAGCATACCCCACTGTACAGGGTACTGTACGGTACTGTATTATGGCACTGTAACAGCTTTTAATACATGAAAAATATATACCTTTCACCTCGTGACAACAGTGATAAATTTCAAGCAAAATATATTATAATATAGCATTTAAAATTTATATTAATGCCTGACAATGACCACTCACTTCTTTTACTGCTAAAGCAAATTTTAAAACAAAATATGTATAGAATGTAAACAATAGCCCATCTTTACCAAAATCAAATGTTTCACTTAAAATTGTCTCTTAAACATTATAGCATTATCCCTTCACCATATTCTTGATTTCTTCTCAGGCACCATCATTAAATATCTCTAGAACTCTACTACAGTACAGTATGTTATTTTGCAGTTGTGACACTACACACTTACCCGTCAAGCCCCACCAAGTTGGACAGCCACTCCGGAGTTTGACGACCCCTGAGGCAAACATGAGTCTGAAGAGTGCCCAACGTATCAACCACATTGTCACCAGGTTTCTGGGACGATATTCAGACCAGCCACGGCGACTCACTGGAGCTACTAATATGGTGAGGAATCCAATCTCCAGTAGCAGTATATCCCTAAAAATTTTAGAAACAATTATTTCAATACTTTCAATGAAATGTATATAAAAATTCTTCACTTGGTATATGGTAGTGAAACATTTCATCTCAATCATAATTCATATTTTTCAAACAACACATTTAACCTTAATTACTGTATATGACTTAAAGTCAGAGGTACTGTTAGATACTGTATTATTTCTTCTTTCTTTATTTAATCTTACAAGCCTTTTCCTACTGTAATTCTGTCTCTCTCTTACTGCTGTAAGAGATCATTCTGCCATAGTGTTCCTCTTCTACAACACAGTTCAAAGATACACATCTGGTTTTCCTTTGTTTCATTATAAACACAGGAATCCCTCATTAAAAACAAAACCATTCACAAAATGCATGTGTAGCCACAGTCAAAAGTCCTGTCGCCTCTCTTGCTGCTCCAGGATCCCAGAGATTCAGACTGATGAACCCAAAGCAGTCGACAATGATGCATTATTCTGTCCACGGATGCTTGGTTGTGTTACCTTAGGATTGCTAATCTGGCAATGGACACTGGAAAGTGAGCTGACTTCTTTTTAAATAATATGTAGATAATTGTTCAAACTTCCCACCAATGAAAAATTCTCAAATCTCTCAGAATATTCTGGACTTCAACAAATTCTTAAGGACTTTGCAAAATACCTGTACCTGTATGCTGAAAATTTAAAATTTGTGGCCTTACAGTACTTAAGACTATCACTGCTCAATACATACTATAGGTCTTAACTACTCCTTATGCCTTACAAAGAGAACATAGGGTATTACAAAACAAAAATAATCCCTCACCTTCCTTTGCAGTAAATATTAATTTACAACAATGCATTTTAGTTGACTAAAAATTATCTAAATGGATAATAATAATGGGAACTAACACTTGCATAGACACACACACAGTATATCCAGCCACTACAGTATTTCTGTCTTCATATAAGGAGTAGAAAATATTAATTGATTGAATAAACAATAATGTACACATTTACACAGAGGAAGATTAGCAGATGAGATAAACACAAATAAACTTGCTACTCACCACTGGAACCACAAGAAGGTCTGCCCCACCTGGTAGAGGGAGAGGTATGTCCCCCACAACAACAGGTATAGGGTAGCTGTACACCATGACTTCCACACCATCCTGAAAAATTTATATTGACACTCAAAACTGAGAGAGTATTCACCATGTTAGTGATACACACACAGGCAAGCAGGAGAATGACAATCGAACTACATTATTTTATTCTTATATCAGTGTGAAGCTAGTATGTACAGTACTCCTATTTCTTAACTGGAGTGAAACCAAGAACATGCACAAGATTCATCTGAAATTAGAAAACAGTAAATACACACCACAAAATTAATGTACAGTATACTCTATGGTACATCATGTTGAACAAAGAAAAAAAAACATTACAAATTAACTCCACTTACTCTAAAACTACTAATTAAATGGCCAAATTGCTATGCTACAAATTCCTTGAGAAGATCAACTTTAACTTGTCATATACAGTACTGTCATATATTGTACTTACCCAACAAAGCTAAGTACAGTCCCAGCAAGGGTGAGCAGCTCCATCATGTAGGACACATTAAGGCCAACATAAGATGAGAAGCACAGGATCGTCAACTTATCAAAAAAACACTGTTTTGGATATTTGAGGTTTGGCAGCTGAGTGTGGGCAGGTAATATTCCCTTTTCTCCATATAAACCTGGAAAAAAATTTTTGTATCCAGCTAAATGATACTCACCTAATTTTATATAAACTATAAAAGTTAACCACAAGAGTTTGGGCTTCCTGTTAACTTATCCTTTAAGGCAAAAATGTACAATACAGTACAGTACTTATGTTTAGCCAATTTTTTCAATATTTTCATTTAATTTTCAAGTACACAAATTTTATTACCAGGTAATCATTTCATAGTACGGTATAGGTACAGTACAGTTCTTTACAGGAAAACCAAAGTTCCAGAGTTAAATGGTCACTAAAGAAATGTGGGTTGGTTTCAGCAAGTACAGTAGTTAATAACAAGAACAGTACTGTACTATCAAACTAACAGGAGCCACTGGAGGACAACAAAACAGACTACAGTAGTTTTCAGTTGAATATCTCATTCCCCCAACCTGTGACCTTGTTGGATTTCAATTTTTCAATGACTTTGATTTTGACGTACTATTGTATTGGTAATGATGATATCAGCATTAATAGGCTTCTTCATCTACCCTTGAGAAATCTGTATGAAAATTAATGTTAAATCACATACAGTAGCTAACTAGGCAAAAAGAATGCATGTCAAAAATTATATAAATGTATTAAATATTGTATTACACTGTATAATAATTAGTGTCAGGTGGGTAATACACATCAACATTTAAAAATTATAAGAGATAAAACTCTCTGTGTCTAGTAGGAAACAAGCTGTCTGTCCACTTTACATCTTTGCAGCAGGTTACTCTTTATGATAAAAATCTTCAAGTATTCTTCGCCATTGGTTGATTTACATATCAAAGTTTTGCATTAATTCCGCGAATTCAAACTGCAGTAATAGAAAATTACTTGTGTTTAGTCTCCTCTCCTTTCTCATTTGATGTTGATAAAACCCTAGTTCACCTCCAACTGAAGCGCACTGATCTGCAAAGTGATCAATTCCTTTTGGGGCAAATCAAGTCTATGCCACTGCCCAGCTTTTATGCTGCACTTAATACATTTTCAAAATTAAAGCTCATGTTCAAAGAATGTTTGTGCTGTTTAGATCAACATACCTGTACATATGTGAGCAGATATTTTCTGAGATGAAATTGAATAAATCAAAACTTAGATCTTTGATGACCTATGACCATCTTGAAACAGTAATTGGCATTGTACATCAACACTGGCATTCATCCCACTGAGTGAGCTCCCATTCTCTTAAACATGTGAATTACTTGTAAGTTAAATTAATGCATTATCAATAAGGTGCTTTTATTAACCAACTTTTCATTTAAATACTGTATTCTTTCCACTGAGTGAGTGCCTCTCATTTTCATCAATGTTTAAATGTGTACACTGTACTGTGTTGGATATATTCCTTGTCAATAATTCATTTTCATTAAACAGAATTCTCAAAGTTAATTACTATACTCTGTATGTGTTTATTTCCTGCATATATAAGTGCAAGAGTTGGTTTTGAGCTCTTATTAAACTTTTATATCTATATTAAGTGTGTGGACCTTGAAGTTTGCCCAAAATTTGTGGTGGCCCACCTGCCAAAATAACTCCCCACCCCTCTGCTTTAGATGTAAATTAGAGATGATAAAGTACACTGGAGCTGGTAAAAATATGATGGCCATCATCAACATTTTACAGCCATTTTCCAAACCTGTTTTGGTAAGGCATGATTACCTGATGACATGGTGTCTCAGTTGCCATCAGGTAGTTCATAAGCAAGTTTTACAGCTGGATGCCCTTCCTATCTCCAACCCACAAATACAGATTGGGAAATGGGCATTAGAGTAAATGCAGGACTTCCATGTGCCATCTTAACTGGCAAAGCAGGGATGCAACTCCATAAGGCTGCCTATTAAACAATTATAGTTTAGTTTTCATTAAATTGTTACCTATACAGGACTTTCAGTTGCAAAGTGTTACCAGTATTTTATTACATGTCGGAGAATTTTTTTTTTTTTTCGAAAATGTCTCCCAATTTATATAAATCAATAGAGAAATGTGATTCAATTTATGATAATTCAATTTACAATAAGCTTTCCGGGGACAAAAACCTACTGTAAGTCAAGGGATACATATACTACTGTACTGTCCAAGTACAGTTCGCGTGATTTTTCAATTGTAATACATATTTTTAACCAAAAATAAAACTAATTCATAAATTGCCAATACAATCACTTTAACATACTGAATGACACAAAGACTATCTGCAAAATAAACCTCCACAACTTATTTAATTTCATTTACAGGTAAAGACTGTCAGAAGCCATACAACAGTACTATACTGTGCTAACTTACAGGCAATCGGCATTGTAACCAAGAAGTTGAAATGCAGAAATCACTGGTAAGATAGCCATAGCATTATTCATTTGGTATTTTATGTATGACTCTTTTCCACAAGGTTTGGCATGTTACCTAATACTATGAGCATCAGTACTTACTGTACATGTTCAGATAAAAACTTTTGAAGTTTATATAATAATATCCCAGGAAAATTCTGGGGGTGGGGGATTTTTTTTCCGGGTTTGAGAGAAGAAAATCAGGTGTACAATACATTTTTCGGAAAATCTGAGAAAAATTTTCCATTACCTGGAGAATTCTGGGGATGGAGGATTTCTTTCCGGGTTCGAGAGATGATGTACTGTAATGAGCATTTTCTGGAACTTCCGAGAAAATTTTCTTGGTACCCAGAAAATTCCGGGGATGGGGGATTTTTTCTGGCTTTGAGAGTCGTTTTGTTACCCGGAAATCTCTTATTCTCGGAAGTGCTCTGCACCAATTGTTCTGGCTAACGGAGATATCATACATGTAGGAATAATGACATTATTTATCGTGGATAGGTATACAGTACAAGTCACAATAGTACTGTACTGTATATACAGTACGGTACTTCTTAAATTCCTTAAAATTACAGAAAAGAATATACTGTAGTACAAGTTTGAGAGCACCACTGCTAGTACTAGCACTTGCTGGCCTCTTTCCACTCATCTTGAATAATAATGCACAGTACAATACTGTACCTGTACTGTATTACAGTCCAAAAACTGAGAGAAACAGAATATTGGCTCGAGATTGAAGCACACGGAAACCACTGTTGTTGTGGGACTGTTGGCGCCTTTGTGCTACCACAGATGCATTCACACATCATACTTTTTATTATTTTTGTAAAAATGTTTAAAAATATCAAAATTAAACAAAAATATATTGTATACAGTACATAATTTTCAAAATTCTTTAAATGCAAATTTTTTGTCCGCAACCCAAAATTAAGGTCTAAATTTGTAATTTCTGTTAGGGTGAAATTCCGTAACCAGAAATTCCATAACCCAGGGGATGCCTGTATATTACTTTGGTAATAGTCAAGACCAATTGTGTGCCTTAATACCTACTGTATTAAATTTCACCATGAAGTATAAATGCTTTCTTACCTTATGAAAATGACAAAAAGTGTATGAGCAAAAGTGTATAGTGTATTATGAATTTGATGATTTTTCTAGCTTCAGGTAGCAAACATCAACCAACATCCGATGCAATATTGGTATAACACGAATAATGAATTCTCTTGTTGAATAGCAAGTCCAAATTACACACACTTTCTTCTTGTTGGACACAATATAAAAAAATTGGAAGAGATTAACCGAGCACTCAGAACATGACAAGATTCCTGAAATGTGGATAAATTACAACTGAATACCAATTTTACCTCCTATCCATACATAAGAGGAATGACTTCCAGAAAAACTAGTTTTTATTACTGTACCTAAAACAAGAAATTCATCTACAAGGATGCAAATACAGGTACCCATTTGAGATAAGAAAATTTGCTTAGATGAATTTTCTAAATTAACACATCTTTTTTGTGTTACAATAGCTTCCCCTGCATATACGAATTTGAGTCCTAGCAAAAATTCAAATCATGTGCACCCGGGAATCAGCTAGGGCAGTCATACTGGAGAGATGCACAGGGACATATTCTCGCATCTCTCATAAGCCCACGTCATTCCTTCTGCCATTTGTTGTGTGTGTGAGGTGATATCTCTTTATTCGTTTGTATTCGTGCCATTCTATCGTCAAGGCATCCAAGCGATCTGCTGAATCCTCTGCTATCCACAATACACCGAAGAATATATAAATGGCTGTGACTCTTAAGACAGCAGTGATGAGGTGGACAGCCCTCCTCACCCCCTTGTGGTGAGCCCAGGCTGCCCTCCCAAAGTTATACTGTATGTATTAGGTAGTGTACTATTTATTATTAGTTAGGTAGGTTTTTTATTCGTTAACTGATGGTATGATACAGTATTGTTTGTTTGTTTTTGTCATTGGGGAATCAAACCCTATTTTTCCCATATGTTCTTTTATTCGCTATACGGAAATTCACTTAATGAATGGTTTTCAGGAATCTAACTCCTTACGTATAGCGAGGGATACAGTACCTGTACTACCCTGAACATCATAATCAGTAAAGTAAACTATGTATTGTAAAGTATTTGATTGGTAAATGTACAGTACTGTATACCCAAGACCAAACCCACTGGTTGTAGGAAGTTCAGGAGATTGTTACACTTGAACTATGAGGTAGTTGAGAAAGTTAAGATATCTCAGAAATTCAAGAGATGGGTTGAGACAAATAATGAGCAGGACAGAAGGATGCATGCCAGGTTCAGGAACCAAGCAAAGTCGGAGTGTAGAAGGGCTGAAAAAGTTTCAAGGCAGATTGCAAGCGAGGTCAAGTTAAACCCAGAGGCTTTCTACTGTTACAAAAAGTCAAAATTAAAGACACGTGTGGGTGTATCAGATCTGAAGCTTTAAGATGGCAATTACACACTCAGATTACGACAAGGTGGAGATGTTACACACATTCTTTTCCTCCTCAGTGTTCCACAAGAGAGGATACAAACAATCTCCCTGCATTTCAGGAAAAACAGTTTGATACAACACTGATACATATTATGTTCAGAGAAGAGAGTACTAGGAACAAATTGTCGAAGTTAAAGGTTCATAAGAGCCCGTGCCTTGACAGCGTGCATCACAGAGTGCTAAAAGAGCTGCTCAACGAGCTTGCTGAACCCCTTAAAATTCTGTTCTTCAGATGCATGGATGAGGAAAAAGAGCCCCAGCGACTAGAAAATGGCATATGTAAGTCCTATATACAAACAGGGAGGTCGCCACTCAACAAATAATTATAGGCCGGTGAGCTAGACCAGCATAGTACTAGAGAGCATTGTAAGAGATGTCTTGATGGATCAGCTACTACGAAACAATCTAGTAAAGGAATGCCAACAGTTTTATGCCGGGACCTGCTTGTTGCAATTACTTAAGGTGCTGTATGTGTGGACCCAGATCCTGGAGTGTGGTAGCAATATCAATAATATATATCTGGACTTTGCCACGGCTTTCGACAGCATACCCCATGAAAGGTTGAAAATTAATGTGGAAGGGTACAGAATTCAAGGGAGTGTGCTAGTGTGAATCAGAGAATTTCTTCATAACCGCAAGCAGTGTGTAGTAATTAATGGAATGAAATTGTCAGGTGTACCTGTGTCAAGTGGGGTACCACAGGGCAGTGTACTAGGCCTGTTGTTGTTTGTTTTGTAAACATGTCATAAGCGATACACTCCTCCATACAAATGTTTGAGGATGATGCCAAGTTATTCAGGGAAATTAAGAATCAAATGGAGTGTAATGTATAACAGGAAGATCTATCAGTTTCAGAAGTGGTCAAAGGAATGGCTGTTAAGATTCAATGTCACGAAATGCAAGAGGATGCACCGAAGGTAGCTCGTACCAACGGTAAGGAGGTACAGAATATCACCTGTACCAACGGGACGAAGAAACGTGGAGTTAGGTAAGGTTAGGTGGGTTCCTCGGTTGGTTAGATCAAGTTCCATTAGGTTCTGTACATTGTCGTATTGTTTTTATTATATACCTCAACCTTTACCAAAATTACTTTGGGTAAAGGTGTAGAAGAGGGTGACCACCAGAAGGAATTGTCTGCATTGGTTGAAATTTTTTCTGCACACTAATATCATGATATTAAGCACAAAAATGGAAAAGAGAATGCATAGAATCTAATAGAACCTGACCTAACATACCCTTAGGTTGGGTATGTTACATCATGTTTTATTAGGTTCTATGCATTATTTTGTATTTATTTTTTATATAATGCTAATAACATTATATTAAACACAGAAATGGAAATGACAATGCATAGAACCTGACAATCTTTTTATTACTCTATCCCGTTTCACAATTCTCCTCCCGGCGCCATTTTTGTTGTTTACCTCGCTGAATCCCTTTTCAAGAGAAGTTTCCTAAATGATGATGAACGCTTCCACATATTCCTCCTCGCCATTGCTGATGTATATCAACCTCAATATTAAGGTAAGTTGTTTAACACATAAATTAACACGATAATGCATAACCTAATAGAACTTGACCTAACAAACCCATAGGTTGGGTATGTTAGGTCAGGTTCTATGCATTGTCGTTTCCATTTTTGTGCTTAATATCATGATATTAATGGGTAGAAAAAATTTCAACCAATTCGGACAATTCCTCCTGGTGGTCACCCTCTTTTACACTTTTACCTTGCTTTGGTTCCATGGGTTTATCATCCATATAACAAAGCCAGTGGCTGAAGAACATAAATTGTAACTGCCTCTCACCATGCAAAATTACATTCCAAGTTTAAAATTTGTTTAAAACTGCAAAATAAATCATTCTCCATACAGTGGTCATGCATAGAGGCCCATACCTGGGACCTGCAGATACAAGGACCCGAAGGCGAACATGTAGATCCCACACATGCAGCGAAGGAAGAAATTTCTCGTGTGTAATATATCCACAGCCATATTAGTGTTATATTGATATATGAATGATCAATGAGTCACAAGAGACATAAGGAATCTTATGAATAGAGATCTCTCTGTCAGCACTGTCACTCCCGTTACTCGCCCACAACAGCGTGGATGTAAACAAAACTATGTCTCTCGGGATCACATTGTGATTACATATTTTACCACATTTACCTCTTTTTAAACATTGTCATGCCGTTTAATTCATATATAACATACGAATAGTAACGTAAAGTATATGTATTACTATAATGTAAAAAACTAACATTCAATTGTCAGGAAATGGCGATGTGTTTCATCATTTATACTATCAAATCTGCATCCGATTAACCCTAGGCCCAGCATACACATTACAGTACTGTCAAATTCAAATTCAAAACATTTATTGACAAATACATCAAAAGGAGCTGGTTAGCATGCTAACTAGCCCGCCCAAAAACTGCTCTTAACAAAAGCTCTTTAATATTGTACGTAATCATAAATCAGATATGTATATAACAAATAGATATGCCTAAAATCTACAATCGTATGTTAAACTTACAAAAAATGTTCAACACAGTACTGTATAATGTATTTCCTGCAAAACTTGTCATCAGTACTTGGGCAAAAACTATATAATTGAAATATGAAATAACACAATCGTTCAATATTTAGGAAATAGCACAAATAAGAAGTGAGAGATTTGAGTTCCGTTTGTGTATTTCATGTTCTCCGTCTTGTTAGGCTCTCAGCGGTAAATGACATGAATGGAAAAGAAATAATGCGGTATAATATGAAATAAAACGAAATAAAAGTGAAAGAACATGAAGCAAAGATTGAGTGATTATCATTAAGATGATGTGTTAATGGAAAAACTAGATACATTTCTTGTATTTGTATCTATGATATTTAAACAGCTGAGTTAAAAACAATAACTTCTAATATATTAAGCGGCTAACGAGCTGATCAGTGGCGAAGAGGATAAACGTAAGAGAAAAAGTTATTGCCATCCACCACATCCCAGGTATTTTTAGCCATGACTTCACACTGAATTAAATACTTATCGTCAATTTAAGGCAATAATATTTTTAAGAAGTTATAGTAAGTGTTTGAATAATTGGTTAAAGAATATTGTATATTGTATTTAATTTTATATTTACTATTCACTTAGAGGCAAAACCATATCCTACAAAATACAGTGTACTTAGCAAATGCTGCAACTTCTGAGAATTGCGGGGGGGGGGGGAGAGGTTACTACTAAGAACAGAGATGTTACCGAGAACAAATTCTGGCATGAATGTCATGTACACTAATACTGACACGTTCCTTGATAAGAGAGAGGAGTTTGAAACACTCCTGAAGGTACACCAACCAGATATTGTAGGAGTTGTAGAACTGTTGTACAAGAACAGGAGAATCGACCCAGAGGAATGTGAGTTCAGTATTGCTGGATATGATTCATTTACGAACCTTTCTCAAGAAACTTGCAAGAGGGGTGTGGTTATCTATGCTAAGCAAGACCTTAGAGCCAGCCAGGCGAGGGTACAGGGAGAGGTTGTTTCTGAAGAGTCCGAATGGTGTAAAATTAAACTAAAGGGAGGGGACTTACTTATTGTCGGGTGTATCTACAGATCACCAAACTGTGGCCCACTAAATCAAAGGAACTTAAGAGCCTTAATAGACAATGCGGCGTTGCTCAACCCAAGCCACCTCCTTGTCATGGGGACTCTAACTATGGCGATATTGAATTGAGAAACGAGTTCACCCCAAATGATTTGAATAACCCTGCTACTCTTTTTGTAGAAACTCTGAGAGATAATTTAATGTTCCAACATGTTAGAGACCCGACCCATTACAGAGGGGAGCAAACACCCAAGCCACTAGACCTCATCATAACAAACGAGGAGGGCATGGTGGCCAAACTGGAACACTGTGGGGTACGAGTTGTTTGGTTCACACTCAGGATGGAATGGAGAAAGGAAACTCACAATGTGCTCTCTATACACATGTTGTATTGGATGTACAATGCAGCTTGGTGCTGGGAAGGCAGCATGGTTACAAGCGTGATGTAGAGAGAGCTGGTTGGTGAGGACGCTCAGAGAAAGACAGCTTGTGGGTCGCCATGCTCGCCAGCGGGAGAGAGGACCGCCAGGCAGGCGGAGGAGGAGCGAGGACCACCAGGCAGGCGGAGGAGGAGGGAGGTGTTGCTGGCTGGGAGGTGGAGGTAGAAAGAGGCAGGTCACCACGAGGTCAGGTCTTAAATAGCGGGGGTAGGCGTGGCTTAGTAGTTGACCCCCGCTCCGTGATGTATGGCGGCGCTGGTTGACCTCGACCACGAGGCATACACGGGTTGGCTAATTCCCGTAAAAAAAACAAAAAAAAAACAGCGTTTGTAGGGGAGAAATCCACTACAACACCTTGCCCCAGTTGGCACCAGTCACCATATAGTGTTGTCATTCAGATTAAACTTAACTAGTTCAAGATAAGGCCAGGCCAAGGTGCAAATATTACAAGGGAAATTACAACTGGATGAAGGAAGAGATGAGGGGTATCCACTGGCCTGACTCATTAAGGCACAAGAACGCAGACACTACGCTATATATCATAACTAGTAAAGCGACCCATTTGATTGATAAATATAAACCCAAGACCAAACCCAGTGCTTCTAGGAATACGAGGGGATCCCTACACATGAACCATGTCGCGGTCGACAAAGTTAAGAAGAAAACCCAGAAATTCAAGACGTGGGTTGGGTCAAACGATGAGCAGGACAGGAGGATGTATGCAAGAGCCAGAAACCAAGCAAAGGTAGAATGTAGAAGGGCTGAAAAGGAGTTCCAGAGGCTGGTTGCAAGCGAGGTCAAGTCAAACCCAAAGGCGTTTACCGCTATGCAAAGTAGAAATTAAAAACGCGAGTAGGAGTATCAAACCTGAGGCTTGGAGATGGTAGTTACGCAGATTCTGACCAGGATAAAGCTGAGGCATTGAACAGCTTCCTTTCCTCGGTGTTCACAAGAGAGGATGTGATTAACCTTCCTGCGTTTGAGGACAGACGGTTCGACACAGCACTGACCCACATTGTGTTCACAGAAGAGGGTATAAGAAACAAACTGTCAAAGCTAAAGGTCCATAAGAGTCCCGGCCCTGACATGGTGTATCCTAGAGTGCTAAGAGAGTTGCGCAACGAGCTTGCCGAGCCCCTGAAGATCCTGTTTTGTAAATGCCTGGATGAACAAAAGGTCCCCAATGAATGGAAAGTGACGTATGTGAGTCCTATCTTCAAAAAGGCGATCGTCACTCCACGAACAACTATAGACCGGTGAGCCTGGCCAGATTTAATATATATATATATATATATATATATATATATATATATATATATATATATATATATATATATATATATATATATATATATATATATATATATATATATATATATACATATATACATATATACAGTATAGAAAACACCATTGTGAGTTTCCTTTCTCACCTCCATCCTTAGTGCGAGATATCCTACATGTACGTTATGTATGTGTGCCTGACAAAGAGAAAATAGACAAACACAGAGAAATTAGACAACTGGCCACATACACTATGCTACAGGCCGACAAGTTCAAGGGTTCGTGGCAACACCGACGATCCAAACACTAGTAGCTCATTGACTACATCTTTGTTAAAAAAAAGAGATTGCAAAGATGTCCTCATCATCCGTGCCATGCGTGGCTCAGAACACTGATCATCAGTTCGTCAGAACCAAGCTCTCGCTTCACGTCGCCCGAAAACGGCGAAGGGAGCAAGCCTCCAGAATAGGTTAGGTTAGGTATCTTAAAATAATGTTGATAAGCGAAAAATACGGAAAATGGTAACTTTGACCACACATGAATCATTTGACCTTGAAAATTACCTTAAGTCAAAATCTAGAGTGGCACCCGCCCACATTTTTATACCATGAGTGAAAGATCCAACAGCATGGATGTCAGCTTTTAACACAAAATGCCGTAAATATTTTATAAAACACTTCTTTATGAATGTCTACTATAATGTGAATTCGCATACTGTACTTGTATACGTGTCTGTGTGTGTGTAACTCACTGCGTGCGTGAGTGTGTGTGGGTTAATATACGAGTATGAACATCTCTACATCATTAGCACTCCCTACTGCATTCCAATCCTTGCTTTCCTCCTCAAGCATTGCGCCCTCTGTATCCTTCCAGGCATAATGACGGGAAGTCCTCTATCTACTCCCTCTCCATGACCTACAATTCCCTGAGAGGGAAAAGTGTGATCCTAGACCTAGACGCTCATATATATATATATATATATATATATATATATATATATATATATATATATATATATATATATATATATATATATATATATATATATATATATATATATATATATATATATATATATATATATATATATACTTTGTGTGGTAAATCTGTATCTGAGCCAACACCTGTGGTCAACTAACCTAACATCCATCCCCTTCCCATAATCTTATAGTAACCCTTGCTTTGTGAGATCACTTTGCGATTCCTATGAAATGTTGACAACTTGCCCCGACTGACCAGAGGCGGGTGATAATGTAGAGATAAATTGCCTGCACATGACATTGGCCACTAATCCTGGAATGTGTACGAGTTGGTCTTGGCGGAGTTGACATTAATTTTGACTTGACGTGATTTAGTGTTGCACGCCTGGTAAGTCTTATGTGAAAAGAGGAATTCGACCGAACCCCCCGACCCCGTCTGTACCCGCCATTAGTCAGTCATCTCGTCTCGGGTGGTATGAGACAAGAGGGGTGCCCCAGCTGCTGAGGGCCTTAGCATTGTTTTTTTGAATTATAGCTAATGGTGCTTTATTTTTGTTTTGGAGGAAAATTTACTCTTGGGGTTGATGGTGAAGCGAAGGTTAGCCGTTGGCACATCCTCGAAACCCTAAACTCCCTCAAGTGACTCAGCGAACATGAACCAACTCTTGGGCAATATCAGTACCTTAAACTTTAGTAAGCTATTCAATCACATACATTAAGTTTTGTATATGTTTAAGTTTGCATGGTATAGATTTTTAAGCCCACATACACACTAATAACGATATATTTGCACACATAGACTCGCGTAGCTTCCAAGCAACAGTATCTTACCAACTTTGAACTAGTGATATAACTCCAAAAAAATATCTCCCTTGGAACTGTTCATCGTACGTTGCTGAATAAGTA